CCTTTTTTTCTCTCATTCTCAATTTCATGACATGTGTCCAAAACTCAACCAGACTGCCTCCTTAACAACACAGTAGGAGGGAGGAGTCATGCGATAGCCGGCGAATACAGCCGTTTCTCCACGCTCTCCGAAACGAAGCGTCCCTAATGGCGAGGAGTGAGGAGAGACAGCTGTATTCGCAGGCTTGAAGTTGGTGGCTGTATTTCATACTAAATTAAGGTGGTTCGATCCAGTATTTTTGTAGGTGCTCCTTCCATCTTTGAATCACTTTGACTTGAACAAATTTATCAAATTTATAAAACAATCACACTACAAACGAAATTATTGGGAAAAAAAACGCAACAGCATTTGATCTCGCGCGGATAAAAATGCTTTGACTGAACTAAAATGTTCCAAATAAAATTTGTTACATTTCAGAATACGACTAATAGTTAGCGCTTCTATAACACTGGTCTCCAAAATCAAAGCGTTAAACATTTGACCGAGGGCCGAAAGCAAGATATAGGAGGTTTTGAGTTACACTATTATACAGACTTGCTTCACCAAAGATTGATTCGATCTACTAGAGGAGTAGAGGAAATTTGAATTGAGGGGGAAATGTTCGTTCTTAAAAATATTAACGGATTCGTTTGTATGAACTGGCGAAAACGATCCCAAAATGATATGTATGGACTAGTTTAGTTATTTATTTAGTTATTTTTTGAAAACAGAGAAGTGAAACAGTTCCGATTTTATCTATTCTATAGTGTTTAGTAAGGAAATTCATATTACAGAAGTTTTAGAGTTGCTTTAGCCGCCAAGTTATTTTTTATTGAGCAGTTAAGTGTTGTCGTGGTACACGTTTTTTGGGGGCCCTGATACAATAAAACCTGTTTGATAAGAATACTTCAATGATTGCTTGCCCGAAAGAAAGGCCGAGTTATTACAAAAAAAAATGCAGAGAATGAGAGAAAAAGAAAATTCAAGAGTCGCGTTGGCTTTTTTCAAACTCTACTTAACTCATGATTATGCATTTGATTTGTTAATTCGTGGAGTGTTACGTTGATTTCCACTGTCGCGTAATTCTTATTTGAGTGTACACGCACGTAAATTTTACTCTTGTAAATAAAAAAGAGGCAAGGTATGAAGCATCGCGCTTAAACGTGAACTTGAGCGACGTTCGACTTTTACGATTTCGCGCGACCTTTCAAACGTTACTCCTATTTTATTTGCGAACGAAACTTTTACGCACGTACGCACCTAAAAATTACGTGGCAGCGGAAATCCACCCTTACTAAATCAGTGCCGAGTAGAGATTCAGCCTCAACCTCTTCAACTTTAAGAGCGTTGATTAAAAAGCTCCATAGAAACACCGTCGCCCAAAAACTCGGCCAATATCAAGTGTCTTGTTTATGTGGTGACCTTGCGATTAGTCAGCCGCGTATCCGAGATATAATCTATCAGTTCAATGGACGGACACTATGTGCCGGTCTAAAAGTGTTCGTCTTAGGGAGATTTGACAGTGCATATCAAAATGCATTGTTTAAGGTACTTCCCAGGTTTTGAGATACGCATCACCTACTGCACATATCATTGCAACTTCAAAGAGAGCGGTCATTGTCACCGGTCGCCTAAAAGGAGGTAATTATGGCCCCTTTTGGAGTCTAAATGCTTTTAATAGCACCAGAATGTGGCAATGTTCATTTTTGATGAGACCGCGCATACGAAGGATCTGCTTAGTTTTTGTCTGCAGTGACGTATCGTGTTTTTTGAAAACCCAAAAATTATTTAGCCAAAACGGTCACCGACAACAACTTTTTGAAAACACTTTCTAGAAAACGATGACGTCATATTATTTGATATCTGCGGAATTAGAATGTTGCCCTGCCCGCTTGCCTTTTTAGAAGACTTGTGGCACATCTTAAGTAATTTTTTTTTTTACTTTCTGGTAAAATTATTTAAATTTTTTATTTCCGAACAAAGCTTCATCATCAGGGCGTCTTTTAACACTGGTCTCTAAAATCAAAGCGTTAAAAAGGGTGACCAAAAGCAAAATGTCGGGGAGTTACTCGATTATGTAAAACTGCTTCATCGAGCTTGGCGAGACCTTGTTGATCAAACATTAATTTCAGAGGCCGGAAGGGAGAGAGAATTTTATAACGGTTCAAGGCCAATCCGTGAATTAAAGCCCGTCCGTTTTCAAGGAAAAACGGAATCGTGTGGTTTGGCAAAGACGATTTTCGATTTTAACATGATGATTCCCGTTACGTTGGAGCTCAGGTCTTGGGATGAGGATGTCTTGTACTGTAGGATGATATCATCCTCTTTTACCACCAGAACTCTATTTATTTACCGTGAAAGTCTGAAAACCTTATCAAAATCCGGGCGTCAGTTAACTGAGGAATCAAGTAGTTTTCCCAATATTTTCAAACGACTCAGTTCATTGATAGCTACAGCTGTATTAACCTATTTCATCGTTAAAATGTAACATACAGCAAGTTCGTCAACGCCCAACTGAATGCTGCAAGAGACACATTTGTAGACATGTCTGGCCTTTATTGTATATTTGATGTCCGAGAAACCGGCACACCCGGCTTGAGACAATATTGCACTCGCATTTTCCAAGAACAATGCCCTGCTTCTACTTCTTTTCCAAATCTGTAGACATCATAAAAAATGAAAGCATTAATTTAAAAGAACAAATACGCAGTAAATTTCGTTAGTTCATACGCGACATCTCAACCGTCATAATTCAAAAAAAGAGGTTCCATATCACTTACTAGAACACCATTTTTTAGAATAGTGTTCTATTTAAATGTAATGAAAAAGTCTCACATAAATTTAGCCTCCGTTTGTCAAGTAATAATTCCTTCCCTGCGGGGAGGACATACGACTCTGAAAAGACGTATATGGATGAGACTGTTACAAGTACAACCCAAGGTAAACTTTTGTAATCGCACAAGTCATAATGGTAACAAGTCGACACAGAGGTTGATAAAAGAAAACGTCGTGTTTTTGACCTTTCCACGCCTTCGCCCAACATCATGGACCCTGAAAAGAGGACTGGACTTACCCATGGGATTTGCTTGTCGACGTGACTTGATCCAAGAGCATTAATAAGCTAGAAAATTTTATAAAAGTCATCTTTTTAAGTTCAAAGCTGTGTAACCTTAATGTAAGCAGCATTAGTCCTATCAACAATATACAGCCTTCTTACAGACAAATTATATCAGCTAAAACTATGAGGAAATCTTATCTCGCCACTGGCCAGATAAGATATAAACCCTTCCTGTTGAATTCATTGAGAAAAAAATTTTTCCTTTGAACAACAACTCAAGATTCGTATAAAACAATGCAACTTTCTTTTTTTGAGAAATCGGGTGATTTTGTGTACTTTGTGATTTGTTTTGCAAACCTGGATACTCTGTAAGAGATACCTCTTTTGGGATGACCTATGTAAAGACCATTCTACACGTTTTTACACAAACTACAAGACAACCTTCGAATGTCATTTTTAAAATGCAGCTTTTGAGTTTTCAAAATGCATCACTTTAATTATGTTGTACACCTTGCTTGACTGTAATGAAAAAAGACTGAAAAATAAATAAACACCTAAAAACTTGGTGTGGCCAGCTTTGACCTTCAAATAAAAGTCAAGGGTCAATAATACCCTTGGTATTAAAGTACTTTAAGTCTGCGGAAAATTAACTGTTTTATGTTTTATTGAAAAAAAAAAGATCTACACTAATACTTATAGGTTTAAATAATAAAAGTAATGCTTACTTTGCACCCACACATGTGCAGGGTAAGCATTGTTGGTGTAAGGTCGGATCAAAGCTGTTCTCTTGCACCAGTAACAGTTCCACTTGTACTTATGCCACAATTCAATCGAATTGCATCCTGGTGTTTTTACACATTTAGTAGCACACTTTTGACGGAACTCTAAGGGAAGTTTTAAAACAATCAAACGTACTCAACAGTAGCGGATCCAGACCTTTAGATAAGGGGGGGTGGGGGAAGGGGGTTGGGGGCCGGTCATCTAGACCCTGAGATAAGGGGGGGGGGTGGGGACGGTCTCAAAGAACATTTTTTTTTCGGCCCTTCGTTTAGTCTAAAAAAAGGGGGGGCGGGCCTCCCGGACCCCTCCCCTGGGTCCGCCACTGCTCAACTATCACCGTAAAAAGCGACCAGGAAAACGATCACGGTCACTTACCAGAGAAGTTTGGAACGGGAGGTTCCTTACCTAGAACGTTTTCACTCTCATGGTCTCATCATTATCATCTTTATTTATTCACAAAATCGTATCACCTTTACATGGTCTTCCTGGGAATCGTGTCCTGAGAATCTATGCTTATTTATTTAAACAAAAGAAGGCGATTGACCGTTGCTGTTTGAAGAGTGCGACCAATTTTAACTTTAACGCCGTGCGACAAAATCTCCGACGAGTTATTATTAGGATAACAGCCAATATGAAAGCTATCTATAACGGGGAATTTGTTCTTGCTACTAAAAACGCTTTGGTGCAGTCCGTAGATTGTGGCTAGAAAGGAGTTTTTTCTAAAAGATATATGCAGCTGCACAACTAGTGCACATTAATTGAGAAACAGTGAAAGATCGTACTTACTGGGTTGCGGACGTATCCACACATGTGCAGGGTAGTCCAGATCACGTGTATTGGTATAAGGTCTGATCAAATCTGTTCTCTTGCACCACTAACAGTTCCAGTTGTACTTATGCCACAATTCAATCGCCCTGCATCCTGGTGTTTTTACGCAGTGAGCAGCACACTGCGCCAAGGTTTGTACCACACCCCTTCTTCCACTCAAAAATTGTCGTCCCCTCACTATACACCGGCTTAAAGGATATTTTTTCCATCCTCAAAGTTTTGTATTATTTAGTAATTAAACATTAAGCAAAATATGCAGTTTATGATTTGTTAATAAGAAACTCATAAATAAGTTGCAGAAGAAATAGAAGCACAATATGGAAGTTGCCAAGGAAACGAGAGTGGCATTACCCAAGGGTGCTGCATCTTTAGCGATTTCGTCAATTTCATCTCCTTCCGCTTGTTCATCGATTATTTCTGTGGGATCTTCATCGAAATCTTCTGCATCAAGCTCATAACCATTGATAACATATTTATCTAACAAAATAGATTAAAAACAACAATAATAATATATGAATAAGGCGGTACTTCTGACGTCAGTTTTTCTGAAAGTGAATAGTACTCTCCGCCGAATAAGTTATTATCCACTGGATTTTGACATTGACTTCCCAGTTCCTAATACTTATCCACCGGATAGCAATTTATCTGGTGGTTAGCGCCAGCTGAATGGATACTTTTTCCATCCTAAAAGCTTGGTATTATAATTAAAGTAATTAAAGATTCAGCAAATTATGCAGTTTATGATTTGTTAAGGAGGAATGCATAAATAAGTTGCAGAAGAAATGGAAGTTGTACAGCACGATATGGCAGTTACCAAGGAAACAAGAGAGTGGCATTACCCCAGGCTGTCGCATCTTCAGCGATTTCGTTTATTTCATTTCCTTTCGCTTGTCCATCGATAATTCTTGTGGGATCTTCATCGAAATCTTCTGCATCAAGCTCATTACCATTCATAAGATATTTATCTGACAAAATAGATTAAAAAGGACAATAATATCGATCCACTGTCACCTTTTGCAATCTTCCCGGTGTGTAGGAAGTAGTGGGCGCAAGAAAGAACGGGCGCCGATGTCACCGGAAATGTTAGATTTGCTACAAGTCGACCTTTTGGCGAGCGGCGCGTACCTTGTTTGGCCGCGAGGCGGCCGACCGCGAGCGACGAAGTCGCGAGTTCGTCCCGCGCCATATGAAATCCGACGAAGGACTTTTTTGAAAGTCTAAGGAAATGTCAAATATATCCATAAAAGTGTTTTTCGGCATCGGCCCCCTAAATTTTTGTTTGGGGGGCTACGGCTCCCCCAGCCCCCCCTGCTCCGCCTCCTATGGCACAAAACAAAAATTACGCAAAAAAAGGCTAGCTAGCCTTAAACAATCCAGGATAAAAAGGAAAAGAGAACCCCCCATTCAGGTTTCATTTCCATCTTTTGCGTGACGCGGCATTTACATGATGGCCAAGAGAGTTGTCATGTAGATTTAAAAAATAACTTATTTTAGGGAATTTCGTTATGTTCATTAACCTATTAATATTGTTCGGAAAAAAAATTAAGAGCTGATCAGGCAAAGGTTAACAACTTCGAGTGAAAAAGTTGAGTGCCATGCATTTCATGGTAAGTTAAAATTCGTACAATAGATTTTTGAGCTTTTTTGGGTAAGGGATGCATATGGGCTATGAAATAAATCACTGCAAAAATCATCAAAAGGCCTTCGTCTTATTCAAGAGTTGCCACACGTTTCTATGTTCATGCATCTTACGCGGTTGAGGGCCATTCGTGCAAAATTAAAACGTTTTCCCGATCATGTGTTCATTATCCTATCAATATTGTTCGGAAAATTTCGAGTGACACAGCTGAGGGCCATTTTTGTGTAAGGGATGCATATGAGCTATGAAATCCACCAAAACAAAAATCAGCAAAAGGTCTTGGTCTTGTTCAAGAGCTGTCGCACGTTTCTATGTTTATCTTACACAGTTGAGTGCCATGTGCGCAAAGTTAAAATTTTCTTCCAATAGAACCTTGAATTTTAAAAGTTTACTTTTTGGACAAAGGTTGCATTACTTGTGAAAATCATCACAGCAAAAAAGCAACAACAACAACATAAGCTTTATTTGCATGACAATATGTAGAGTTACAATTTGTTCTAATGATACGCTACAATGATTACAATGGTCAATCAAGTGTCATCAGTATGAATTAATGACAAATTGTTACGTAAATCTTTACATAATGAGACAAATTTCAGCAAATGTGAATTTACAGAAAAATTCTGTGAATTCATCAAAAGTAGGAATGTTATTGTTGGAGCTACTGCACGCGTTTTTGTTCATTACATTATCAATATTGTATTAAATAATGCGAAGTGCCATCTCCGGATGAGAGGTTGAATATACCGATCGAATCATATATTGGGCGCTTCAGGATTACAGCAAAATTGAAATGAAAGTGATAATGGATGCTCTAAAAGGCCACAGCTCCAAAGAAAAGCTAAACCTCTAGCGCGACTTTGCATCATTTTCTGTGAAACCCTTCATTTACAGTGGCGGATTCAGATCTTCAAGCGAGTGGGGACCGTTCATCTAAATCCTAAGAGAAGAGATGGGCCCGGTCTTCAATTTACCGTATGGTGTTTTTGTTGAGCTATATATTCCTATGAAAAGACAAACAAAAAAGGACAATCACACGGTATAGACCTGAGTGGTGTCCAGGTTTCTTTTGTTGAGTAGAATTTTAATAAAATGGGTGTTTTCTCACTTACGTTATTTTAATGAAAACCGAATTTTTGAAATGCTCACCAGGCATAACACTTGGGCCTTTCGATTTCCGATTTGTTGGACAAATATCAAGCACTTTTATGTTCTTCTCTTTTTTGTTTTCGATTTCCAAGTTTTGTAAAATTCTCTTACTCATTAAAACACTATTCTTCCCAACACGTTACCTTTGCTTGCTGTTGTCTGTAAATATTTACCCTTTATTTTAGTCGGAGAATCTTAGTGCACACGACTCTTGTGTTTGAATTATGCTCACTATTTCTCGTCCGTGATTTTATTATTTTAGTTGAAATTGTTTCAAATTTTACTGTTTGTATATGGCGAACTTTGTTAAGTAACTGAATTAAAATACATACACCTTATTCGATAGCATATAATACGTGCGGATATTTTGCGAGTCGCGTTGTATTTTTCCGAACCCCGCAGGGGGGAGGAGGGGGGGAAGAATACGAGCAATGAGCAAAATGTCCGCTCGTATTTTATGCTAAACCATCGAATAAGAGGTTTATTATTCCTCCACAAAAAAAAGGTGTTATTTTGCAATTGACTTCTATTTTTTTGGTAAGAGTATTCAGAAACATCCTGATTCCGTCTTTGAGAATGACGTTAACAATGAGCAAAATGTTCGCGAGTATTATATGCCAAAGCATTGAATGAAAGGTTAATTATTCTACCGCAAAAAATGTTATTTTGGCTTCTATTTTCTATTTGATTTTCGTCAGCCGGTTCGTCCAGTTCAGCCATAGTTGCTCCCTTTGCATCCGCCGGTATTCGCCCTGTTGTAAACCGGTTCAACCAGGACACTACACTATTTTGCGCGTTCTCTTGACCTTATATGGTAAAATAACATAATAGCGAGATAATAAAGATACTTAATTGAGGCTTAGAACCCGGGGGACGGGGGTACTCCCTATAATGGCCTATACGGGGAGGCTTCGTCCGAAAGGGCTATTTTTTTCAGGCTTCAGGTATATGAAAGGGTAGGGATTTTACTCTTTGAGGTATACGAAAGGATAGTGAAATCTGTCATTTCTGTCTACAAAAAAGCCCAGAAGAGCAAACAGATACATTTTATGGTTGTGAAACAGTGGAGAAAACGTTCCGGTGTTATGATTTATTCTTGTTTTAAAGACAATGCATTTACAGCAGCTTTAAAGGGATGCAAAAATCTAAAAAACATAGCTAATGTGAATGAGGTATCATTTGTCAATGCAAGATGTACGAAAGGGGTGCCTTTTCAGTCACAAATGGCGCATAAGAGGTTAAGGGATTAAAACTAAGGGCAGAGACTCTCTGTAGAACTTGTTTTTCTATCCATGGCGTACGTTCATCTACTAGAGGAACGTACGTGATATCGGTTTCTTTGAAAGATCTCCGGCGCAATATTTTGTAACATTCATCCTGGAGTGTTTCAAGAGGTTCTTTAACTCTTTTAAGTCAATACTCCATCATACGTTTTTGCGAGAGAATAACATAATAGTGGCCCTAAGATAAAAAAGATAAAACAGAAAATGTTTGAATTTCAAGGCACGTTTTATGACGAATCTTTGGGTGGATCTGGGAGTGGTTCAAGGGCTCTGTTGAAATGAATCTGCTCACTTCTCACAGAACTTTAGTCAAAGTGACGCAAGAAAACACACGTTGGTATTCCCCTCTTAATGTTACGAACAAGTTTTTGAGGACCGAAATTTCAGTCTTTTTCGGGGAAACATGCAGCAGGCATGTGGCAGTCGTTTATTTGAACTCCTTCAAATTAGATCCTAGATCATTCGCAAAAAATTAATTCAGGAGCCATGATCGGGGTAGGAGTTCGTAAACAACACAAAGAAAGCACAGAAGCATACCACGGTGTTGGTATTAAGAGTCGAATTTGTTTACGAATTTTGTGGCACACCGATCGGTAAAAAGCTGATCCCATCTCCATACGCTTGCCGAGAACTGCTTGCGGTTCCAAGCTAACAGCTACCACATATGTACGGTGGAGCTGGCGATTAAAGGGGTGCTTTGCACCCTCCTCGGCAGTAAAGACAAGGTCTGTGATCGTAAGTGAGACCGTGCTGGTCTAGGAGACCTTACTTGGATACCTTTTCAGTAATGGGTCTATTCCATCGAAGTGGCAAAATGTGCTATTTTAAGCACAAATTGTGCCGTCTCGTGTGACACGCGCGCACAGTTATTACGAAGGAAATTACAGGATGGCACTGAACGCACGAGGTAACGCAAGAGTATCGAATTATCACTATGACAACGACCCTCCAGAGAGGGATTTTGGATTAAATGTATTTTAAACAATTTCATAGTGATTGGGTCTCGGCAAAGGTTAACTAAAGGACTCTTCACCGATCCCCTCCTCTTGCGATTGATAATTCCCCAATCTCTCAAGTTGCCTCTACCAAATCTCTTGGGGTCCAGGTCGACGCGCATCTTTCCTGAAATACGCACATTACTGAAACCTCTAAAAAAAATTAGCTTCGGGCATTGGTGCCCGAAAGCGCTGTCGTCCTTTCGTTCCTCTGGTAACCTTAATTTGCGCGTACAATTCGATAATCCAGCCACAGTTTGATTATTGTGACATAGTGTGGAATAATTGCAGAGCAACTATATTGCTACGAAGCTGCACAAGCTCCAAAATTGCGCTGCCAGGGCACTGACGACGACGCTGAAGTCGAGCCACTTTTTCAGCAGTTAAATTGGACTCAACTTGCTCCTCGTCGTGAACTCCACACACTGAGTAAACATGGTTTACAAGTGTACTCACGGTTTAGCGCCTGATTATTTACAGGATAGATTTGTAAAGCGTGTTTCGAATTATTTCTTAGGAGATTCCTCTAATAAATTTGATGTCCCTCTCCTCCGTACCAATTATCTTAAAAATAGTTTTCGTTGATAGCGGGGTGGTCTTATGGAACAGTTTGCCTTTGACTCTTCGGCAAGCAGAATCCATACCCTTTTTTAAATCTGGCTGCAAGGAATTCTTCAAATAATATGCACTCGGCATCCATGGAAAGCAGGCTAACTTAATTTATATACTATTTATTATTTATTCATTATTCAATACTGTATGTACATCTGTTTTTATTCTATTTATTATCATTTGACAATTATTCGCCGAAGGTGAAGTCAACATTGTTGAATAAGTCGAAGTCGAGGGGATTAATATTATTGAACAATATTAACTGAGCCTGAGGCGAATAATTGTTTTAGTACAACTGGATTCTGAACAACAGAGAAATCTCCAATTAACACTTTAAAATTTGCTGTTTAATTTCTCAATAAGCCTCAAGCACATGCGCTATGTGGGGGGTCTCACGAACGAGCAAATGATCACATGATAAACATTTCAAAATGGACTTCTTTGATTTCATGTCAAAGTTTCAAACAAGCGGACAACAGTCAGAAAGACCGCTCAGTTGTTCCTCTATTTGCTGGAAAACAGCTCTTTACAAAAACAAAGTCAAAGGAAATAGCGGCAAGGGCTAACAATTACTTGTTGATGTTAATATTCAACGTGAAAGAACATCCATGAAAGCTGCCCGATGGTAAATCGCACTTGGGTTTACGCCGTTGGCAATGAAGACGTTTTGTTCGTCTTGAATGGTGGAAATGTTGGTTCCTGTTGTTGGAACAGCTACTACTTCAGCTGGAGTGCTTGGGACTGCTTTGGTTGACCCACAAGTTGAGGAAGACGGCGCAGCTTGCTCTGGAATTAACGTAGGGTTGGCCTTTAACAGTAACTTTCGATGCTTGCGTCGCTTTTATGGCCAGTCACTGCTTTAATGTGCCGTGTCTCCACGTTCACTGAAGAAAGAACGGTGACTGTTGTGGCCCTGAGAGACTGGCTAGTGAAATATGGCTGGATCCCGGCTCTCTGGGTCATAAAAAATCTTCCTCTAGAACAAGATGCTATCCTCTTCTGGACTGGACCTTACACTTGCATCCTTTGGCCGCTGGATTAACGCATCCACCTCTGGATTCAGATGGAAAAGGTACGCTTTAATCGTCTTAACCGGGCATCTTTTGGAACCAGGGCATGAGAATATTTTCCCATCTCCGTGATCTTCACTGCCATCAATGCCGCCCGTGTGATTTTCAGTGGAGAGCACTACGCCTGGTTCTGCTTTATTTAGCTCAAAGAAGTCTTCACCTGTGGCTGTCACCGTCAGACGGAGCACAGATTTCTTCATTAAACTTTGACTTTCTCTCCGTCTTTTCCCGAGATAGAGAGAAACGTAAAACCATGTTGTCTGCAGCAAAGCAAGAGGATTTTTTGTCTCCGCACACGCCAATTCTCTTGCTTCAAACAGCTTTTGCACTACTTCCGCTGTTAAGGGATTTTTGTGAACCATAAAGGCAATTAACCCTGTACTGGCAAGGTGCTTAAGGTAGGAATTTACAGCTTTATTTGCCTCGTTAAACTGAATTGTGTCGCAAATAAAGAATTTCTTATTTATAGGCGGTGAGCGTAGATAGCGATCTAGGGCTGCCCTAATAGACAACAGACTTTTCTTCTTGTAATGACTTCCGTCTTGCTTTCTTGCTGATAAGTAAAATTTTGGGAGACAGTTGTTCATTTCTGTCCCTTCCATGGGCTCAAACTCAGTTGTGAAATCAGGCTGTTGTGCAAACCATTCTGAGAAAAAAATTAAACAGCAAGTTCAGCTTTTGTTATCGATCTGTGACAGTTTGTTAAGTTTCAAAATAGAATAGTAAGACTAGCGGAAGAAGTTTACTTACCTTTGAAAAGTCTTACGCCATAGTTCGTAGCATTTTGTGTTGATTTCGGGACAGCATTGACCTTTATTTCTCCGATTTCCTCGTCCGAAACGTTTGCAAAACGGCTGCTGGCAGCCATTTTGTTTTGGTCCTATATTCACCGCGCCAGGCGGTGAATATAGCGTCATATGCGAAACTGCTCAACCAATCAGATGGCAGAAAACTCTTTGTTCAGCTTTCCATTTATACTAAATTACTATATTAGGTAAGATCATAGGTTACATGTATACATTTTATATGAATTGCTTAGAATCTTATATCATTTATATGCCTGATGTTTTTACCTAGTTTAAATAAAGTTACTTGACTTGACTTCTTGCCATCGTATTGTGATGCCACAATACTCAAACTCCATTCGGGCATACCCAACATATCCGTGCAGGCCCTGTTCAAGAAAATTGAGTTTTTTTCTGGTATACTAACTGCGTAAGTCTTTAAGTCCAGCTGGTTACCTGATGTCTGAAGTCAAGGCCAGGTCATTGTAAGATGAAAAGATAGAAGAAGTTAAAAGATCATGAGGGTCTCAATGTGATGGATGAGGTTTGACAGTTGACGGTTGACGGTTGACAGTTTGATGTTAGAGCTTTTGACGGTTATTTTAAAAAGGATTTAATTTAGTCCAAGAGTTTAATAGCCTACGCCTCACTAAACAACTAAAATGTGGTTTAGACCGTCTTAACTCTGGTTAAGTCCGTCTGCAAAACAGCGCCGAAATCTTTGTTCTCGGCCCCCACCCGTGTACCAAGATTTGAGTACACGCCGTGATTGGTCTGTTTAAAAAGTCATCGTCAAATTGCCAATCAGGATTGACGCACTTTCGGTAATTCGTCGAGTCCGTTCGGGGGCCCAGAATATGTACAATGGATCTCGGCGCTGCTTTGCAGACGTTACTAACCGAGCTTAATGACGTCTACAATGCAGGCTAAGAGCTTAATTACCTACAGTCGAACCTCCACTAACGGCCACCTCTCTACCAAGGCCAATGTTTTTGGCAGACAGTCCATACATTGACCCTTGTTAAAACCTCTTCAGAACGGCACTTTTTTCTGTCCCTAAGGTGGCCGTTGTGGAGAGGTTCAACTGTATTATCTTCTGCGGTAATTTTAATTACAATTATTATAGTTGCTCTATAATAATTATGTTTTGAGCTTTGACATGACCTTTCACTTATGGTATTTTAAAATACTTTCAGATAAGCAAGTTGTAAGAAATTTCACTGTCTAGAGAGAGTTTTTTTGACAACATGGGAAGTGGTTTTTCCAGTTATATAAAATAAGATGTTCTTTAAGAGCCAAAAGTCTGTCACCTTGAAACATTTTGAGGGTTAACATTAACATCCAATTGTAAAGAATATATATGTCTTTTTCGACGGCTGATAGCTTAAATTTGGGCCTTTTGACGGCTGATGGCCTAACCAATTGAGACCCTCCATCACGCTTGCAGGAACTAGATTTCCTGGCTAGATTTTGCTTTTGCAGTAACGGCACCCTTAAATAACCAATTAGGGGAAGGAGTTGGTATTTTTTTAGTAGCCCGGTTTTCATAAAACCAGTTATACTTAAGTACGCTCCTTTCATTTAGCTAGGAATTCAGTGATGCCTCCTCTAGGTTTCTCCTTCTGAGCGCAAACAGCTACGATGACCCGAAATTTCAAATAATGGTGCCATAACTCTTTACCAGAACGTACATGTATATCGTCATAGTTTCACCTGTTTACAAAAAACTATTCTTAACTACCAGTTTTTATTTAGCGATTCATCATTTTAATCCTACAGTTTTTTCTTTTACCTACTACTTAATTTTGTTGTATGTCATCGACTTTCCCGGATGCAGTTAAGTAAGTAAATAAGTAATTTTATTGAACATCAAATTTTGTGATGCATCCAATATAAGAATTTGGTGACGCTTCAAATTTTGTGTTGCATCAAATTTTCGGGCAAACCGCTGGGTCGGCATTGGTAACTGGAGAGGAGGCGAGCCACCTGAGGGTAAAAATCGCCTTGGCCTAACATTGATTTTAGAAAAAGAGATTGATGCAAAATCTCTTTCTTTTTAAAAGTAGGCACAAATTCTTTTCGAATGGCGTAAACGATTTGAAAACGACAGTTGTGGAGGTGAATTATTTAAAAAACAAACAATTTGTGTTCTCATAAAATATAAAATCTATCAGTTTGAACGGGGCCTAACACAACTACATTTTAACGTTCCTTTTCAACAAAATAAAAGGATCTCTATTAAGCGTATTGCTTTGCAGCTCAGGTCGCAAGTTTTGTATGGGACGGAAACGTCTTGTATGTCAAAGATTGTAGGATAATATACTCCCATCGTCCCTTGCCAGCGGAAGAGCATTTTTATGAGAAAGTGTGAAACCACTAATCCAAATTCTGGCACCATTTAACCGAGTACTAAATGAATTACACAATAATTTCAAACAATTTTTATTCATCGTTGTTAATCTATTCCATCGTCAAAAAAGTAACATACAAGGAGTGTCAAACTTTACAGAAGGCTTTAATAGGAAGACATTTGTAGAAACGCCGAGTATTGTCTTTTTAATGTCAGGTAAACCTGCATCAGTTAACCCCTCAAAGGACCCTCTCTTTTGTTTATGTTGCCAGGAAGTCATCATGCAGTTTTCCTCCATAAAGGAAACAGTTCAGATGCTGATTCCAAAAAATATGTATACTTTACGTCCACATCTCTTCCAAATCTGTAAAATCATCAAACAAAAGAACAAAACAAAACAAAACAAAGTACCAAGAGTTAAGAAAAAAGATTAATTGCGTTTAATAAATTGGATCATGAGCGCGTTTCCAACCTTTATAACTTAACTGAGCTTCCTCCTTTAAAGCGTACGTGACACAACTTTCTCACTGTTTTTGGTCCATCAAAATGTGTATTTAAAAGTTCTAAAGTTCATAAATGTGTCCTCCGAAAAAAAATCTTTCAATTTTGGCAACCGAAAATTGCATTTTTCCAGGTACGAAATGTCCAAAAATACAATCTTCCCAAACGACAGTGTAAATTTAGGATCTGATGAACGAAAATGCTCATTTGGAAATCATGCAATAATTCCGTGTCAAAGAGAATTAAGGAAGTGCATAATGAATAGAATGGTCGTGTATATACGTAAAAAAATACGAGACTGTTACCAATAAAAAATCGAAGTGAATTCTAATTGAAAAGCCTACCAGTAACACTGTGAAGCAATTCAATTTGACACCAAAGTGGAACGAACTCGTCAATTCTCTAACCATATGTTCGATATCATGGACATCGGAAAAGGGGACGACACTGACCATGGGTCATGCTTGTCTGACTTGACTTTACGCAAGAGCCTTACTGATCAACTAAGAAAAAATGTAAAAGTCAGCCTCAAGTTTCAATTAAAACCCTAGTAACTTAACATAAGAAGCTTAGTACGAAATTCCTGTCGGCAATATAGGGCCTTTTAACACCTAATCAGCCCAAATTCTAGTGTAAATAACTTTTTTCAATTTCTGATGAAAAATCACTAACCATACTGACTTCAAATCTAGTGTTCTAGCTACTGTGCCAGTACCCAGACCTGCCAGTTAAGACTCGGTCTTCTAATATTTCCTTACCCCAGGCCATACAGTTGGGATCCGGCTATTACCGTCTCCTCCCCCAAGGGGATTGTCCCGAGTGCTCCGAATGCACTATTGGTAGAAGGTCTATCTAAGCACAGTATTTGACACTAAAAACACCCCTACAACCCCTTTGGCAAAACAAATCTTGTAAATCAAGAATTATATATAGCTGTAGCTGTTACTTACTTCGCACCCACACATGTGCAGGATAGGCAAGATCGTTTGTATAGGTGTAAGGTTCGATTAAACCAGTGTCCGTGCACCAATAACAGTTCCAGTTATAAGCGTGCCACAATTCAATCGCGTTGCATTCTTCTGTTTGGTCACACAGGGCAGCGCACTCTTCGAACGTTTGTTCCACACCAACTTCTCCACTCAAAAGCGTTCGCCCTTGAGTTGTACACCAGCTGAAGGGATGTTTTCTCCATACTAGGAAATGCGTTATTTTTAGTTATTAGCATAGTGAAAAGAAAAAGAAGTTCAATAGCGAAAAATACTTAATACTTACTTGTTTTTACCGACACAAATGGAGGGTACGCAAGATTATTTGTATTAGTATAAGGTTCGATCAAATCAGGATTTGTACACCAATAACAGTTCCAGTTGTAAGCGTGCCACAATTCAATCGCCTTGCATCCTTTTGTGTGATCACATTGAGCACGGCACTGCTGGAAGGTTTGCACCGCGCCAACTTCTCCTCTTAAAAGCTGCCGCCCCTTAAGTGTACACCAACTGTTGTTATGTCCTATCCAAACTAGAAACAAAGTGTCATACGATATTAATAACATTAGTAGAAACGGTAATAATGACACTTTATTTATTTCAATAGTGTGCATAATTACAGTCAGACTGTAGTCTCCCTTATGGCTCTATGAAACTTAAATACTAAATACTAAAGTACTAAGCCGTTGAATAATTGAAATATCACGTTAAAAAAGGCGTGAATTTACTCGAATCATCATCATCATCATCATCATCTGGTGTGACTATTCTCCAGAGGCAGTGATAGAAAATAGCCCAATGATGTTACCGTGGGATTTCAGAATTCAGACAGATTACCATTCAGACCACAATAGACCTGATATTGTTGTGCTATAAGAGCACGGAAGGGTGCACTTCATTGTCCACGAAGCCTAAAAGGGAGAAGATGGGCCACTACTATTTGGACTTAAAAGTGGAATTGCAAAAGATCTGAAACTGCAGAAGTGTATCTATCATCTCCATGCTAATTGGTGAATTTGGGACTGAGAATAACCAAGATCAGCAAGATGGTAACACTTTGGATTATTGCATTGCTCCAGAAAACTTATTGTTTCATTGGGAACAGCCAAGATAAGAAGAGGAGCCCTAGTTTTTCAGTTACCATACTGGCTCTCATTGAACTATTTCCCTTATTATACTACTACATGAGAAATTTTTGCAATAAATTGGCTTAGAGCAGTTGTATTTCAGGTTAATTTGAAATACC